GTTTTTAGCACAATGAGAAACACTTTTAAGTCTATCCTTAGACACAGCCAAAGGAAATGTAAAATCTTGAACTTGGGACTGTAATACTAGTAGTCAGTGCTTACGAGAGCTAGATTAATATCTTATCAGAACTCCACTAATCAATGCTAAAATTCTCAACTTCTGAGGTCTAAATATAACAGTAGCACAGAGAGGGAAAGAGATCTGAAAGGTTTTTATTTTTATATACCTTAAGACAATTTTTATACCTTTACAAATTGCGTTTACATATCTTTTTTTTTTAGGTTTAGCTTATTTTATTTTTGAACCTTAAAATCATCTTATATAATGTTTACATACAATGGTGCTTGCATAAGTAATGTGAATATTAAAAAGACAAAAGATAAACACCTTTTTGGCTGACATACCACAAGTAACCCAAGTCCTCACAGGAGATGAGGTATGATCTTCATCACACTTCTTGCGGGAGTGGAGACTTGCTCGTGCATATCCTCAATGTCCTGATGTTTTCATTCAGAGGGACTGACCAGCTGCTCTGAGTGCAGTGGCTCCTGGATGACTCAGGATTCAGTTTCTCAACAGGACGGGAGCAGACCGACTCTGTGTCTGTTCCAGCCCAGCGGACCAGGCAGGGGCCGCGTTTACATATCTTAAAACATTATCTTAGACCCTCACAATGTAAGCTGTCTTATCCTCAGACTTTACACAAACTTTACACCTTTTTTTTCTATGCAATCATTTACAGGAGCTACAGGTGGTTGCTTACTGAGAGCAGTCATTATAAACTGAGTTTCTTTAAATAAAGGAATAGTGAAAAGTTATGTTGAAATCTGCTCTGTGAGTTTATCTCTTTTTAGAGTCTGGTAGCAAGGTAAACTGTGTCTAGACCTCATGTTAGCTTAGGAAAGTGAGGCCTAAGGCCTGGGTTTTACACATGAAGAGAACTGAGAAGGCAGAAGCCTTGGCTGCTGCTGTCCATTGACAAAGCTATCACTAGCCTAGTTGTCTACACAATCAGAGATTTGAGAAGGATGAATTTTACCCCAGTAAGCAGGAAGTACAGACCAAGCAGCTCTTGAATCTATTAAAAATGGCAGGCTCACCAGCTACCTGGACAATCAGTTACCCTTGGTTCCTCCATGGTCATTTGGGGCAGGCCTCCATGTTCCAGGGCAGCATCAGTCTTTGGCCACAGGCTCCGAAGACCTGACAGATTTTCCTGTGGAGTAGGAACTTTGGGAGGACTGGCCTACTGGCAAAGTGGGGCAGTCAACTCTCCAGTGTCCTATTAGTCCACAATTTGGACAGGGTCCTGGTAGCTGGTGAGGTGAAGGACAGTTTCTCATCCAGCAGTCAGCTTTGCTACATTTAAAGGAAACTCCAGGTGGAGGTTCTTCTGTGCTCATGATCTTCTTTGGAGAAGATTAGGGGTGCTGCCAGGAGCTGGCATGTCTCTATATCATGAAAACATTTTTATTAAACATTTTAGATACTATATTCAGCAGATTTCCCAAAGAGTTTGAGGACCATCGGTCTATCAAGTACATATAAACTGGTCAGACTTTGCTTGTTTCTAGTTATTTTTTTTTAGGCTTAAATTTGAAGACATATCTGAGGGTTAAATAAAGCCTATCCCTGTAATGAATTACACTAGTACTTAGCATGGCTACAAGTGGAGTTCTGAACATATTAAAAAATTTGGTCATTTATAAAGTGAATATTAACTTGCATGTCTTAATCATCTTTAACAGTTTTCAATAAGTTTGTAAGCTTTTATGTTAGGTTTTTGTATACAGATTAGGATTTTGCAGCTTTATCTTTGTTAGGTTTAGCCTTAAAAAAATCAAACATATCTTATTGATCAAGTATACCTTATTTATCAAGCATATGTTGTTTTGAGAAGCTTGGCATTGAACAGTTAACAAAGACATAAGAATTTAGGTGTGAACCTCTAATCAGCTTTTGTTAATCTGAATAGACTTTTACAACCTTAAATTTTTATCACTATATAGAGTATATTATAAACCAGACTTGGATCACATATATTGTATGTTGTAGCAAATATAACCTTAAATTTGTATTGTCATACAAAAATCTATACCAATTCAAAATATTGGAGACTTGCTACTTCCTTAGTCTAAAACAGGAGATACAGTGATAACCAGAGCTCATTCAGACTAAGAAGTTTTACAGTTGTTGCTTTATGCCATGAGATCATCTAAACATGGTGAAGTCACATGGCATTTACTCTTTAACTTTAGCAAAGATGGTTGCCAGCCATGTGGCTGCTTACTCCCTGATGAGATCATCAGCCAAGATGTAGGAGAGCCGCAAAATGTCTGATTTCCATGTGTATGTGTGTGTGCGCGTATGTGTGTTACATATATACATATATGTATACGAATACATATACACACAGAGTTGGGTCCAAGTTATGTACACATACCTACACATATTCCCAAAGAAGAGTTGAATCACACACACACACACACACACACACATGTATAGCTGTTTAATTATAAGCCTTTTGTTATAAGTTTAAAGCCAAATTTTGTTACATAGGTTATAGATTTAAAACCATACCCAGTGAACAATTTGCAAACTGTAAGATAAAGAATTTATAGCATAATCTTAAGAGGTTTTGTTTTTGGTGGTTTTTGTTTTTGTTTTTGTTTTAGCAGAGTGCAAAGAAATCATAGAGATAAAAGATTTTTAAAAGTGGGCAGTGGAACCTTAGAGGTAAAAGACTTCCGGAATTATAGAGCAGAGCAAGTTTAATAAAGATATTTAGGGATCCTTTTTCTAGCAGTAGCAGTTGTTAGAATTTAGAAATCAAGTTCCCCAATTTCTTTGGTCATTGATGTGTACTAAGGCCAAGCTGCTGTAATAAAATCTGACTCGGGAAGGAAGCTGAAAGCCAGAACACCTTGTGGGTGTGTTCCTCTGAGCTCCAAGAGGGAACAGAGAGCTGAAGCTGCAGGAGTGCAGGCAGCTCCTAGACGGAAGCCAGGAGATTCGAAGAGTATGGCCCCAAGAGGGCACAGGGAGAGGCAGGGCAAGTGGCTCTGAGTAGGAGAAGGCAAGGAAAAAAGAAAGAATCCCAGGCCGCCACGGGCAGGGCTGCAGTTCCTGAGAGACTCAGGCAGGTATAGCAGGAGAGCAGATAGCACGAGAAGATGGAGATAGCCACGTGGATATGGTAGTCAGAGGCACAACAGGCTGCAGAAGACAGAGAAACACATAAGTGCCCACGTTGAAGGCACAACGGGCCAAAGGGAAGCAACAGCTGAGGAATCGGTTTCCAGATTTTGGAATCAAATTTGCAAACAAATGGTCTGTACATACTTTAGGACAGTTAGATTAGCAGCTTGATTTAGAGCGGGCAAAGCGGGGAAAACAGGTGTGTGCTGGGTGTGTACACAGTGCAGCTGGCCTGCTCCTTTGCTTTCGCGGATCGTGCTATGTGGACGTGGATTCCCAATTCGCAACAATCTTATAGATTCATCAACTGTAACTTAAAGACAGGACATTTGCAAAATCTGTGCAGGGCGTGGTGGGGAGGCAGACAAAAGCAGCAGGGATTGGAGCCAAGAAAAAAGAAATAGAAAATGGGGAATTCTTTTCTCTTCTCTGATCATTTGGCCGGCAGCATTTGGGTTGATTAAGGGGTTGCTCACCAGGGTCAGATGACACACTACATGCCCTTAAGTCCCGCATCAGGTAGGGTAGTCGGAAGTTCTGCAAGAAGCATCCTACAGGGTAGCCAGGAGGTGGATAATGCAGTTACCACGGAAGAATTGAGGCTTGTCTATCAAGACAGGTATATACACGCATAAAAGGGGGTCTGTGAGAGGGACTGAAGGGGCAGGTGAGGAACAAGAGGGAAACCTAAGTATGTGTGACATGAAAGCGGCAAGAACTATTTCACCAGAGGAAGGGGAGCAGGATGAGGGTGGATAAGAATAAAGTACATATGCATGATATGTATTCGTGAGACTCTCATAAAGAAACCCACTACTGTGTATGCTAACTATAATTTTTTTAATAAAATTTAAAAATTCTCACTGGAAAAGCGGGTGGGTGGCTGAGAGGCAGCGTCTAGAGACCCATGGTGGCAAAGCTACTATCTCCAGAGCAGTGGACACGGAGTGGAGCTCTTTATTTCGTCTGCTTTGTGGATGTGTCAATAAGTGTTTGAAGGCTGTCAGTAAAACGATAGGACTTTACTAAGCCCTCCGGCGAGTCTTAAGATCTAGCTGGAGAGCAAACATTCCAGGTCTATTTCCGGATTTACCGCATCCCCAAATCCACCCGGATCAGGAGCCACCTTACTATCGGGGATGTGCGGAGGCTACAGTTCAGATGGAAACCAACCAGGGAACCTGGGAGCCGGCCTTACAGTGGTGACTCCACATAGTTCCCAAGACTGTTTGCACCTGCCTGCGGGCTTGTACAGAAAGCTGGTGAGCGTGCGGGAGGGGGCTGTCGGAGTCCGGCTGCAGCCGAGTAGCAGAGTGCGAGCTGCACTGGGAACTGCGGTGCTGCGAGAGGGGAGCGGGGCTGCTAGAGCCGAGCGCGTCACGGGAGCGAAGAGACGCTGCACAGCCCTATAGGCGGAGGCGCTCTGGCTCCTGCGGGAGCAGAGGTATAAAAGTGCTGTGAGCATCGGGTGAGCGCCACCGAGGACCGAGGTGGGTGGCAGTCGGCACGGTCAGGGTCCCTTGGCGTTCCGGAGTTTTCTCTGCGGTCCCGATCCCTCCCCGCCTCCCCGGGGGATCTCGGTTGCCTCCCGAGTCCGAACCTGGCGCTGTCCAGGTTCCCTCGGAGATCGGGACTCCCTCTGTGTTCCGTGCCCCTCGAGCCCCAGGTTCCCTCTGTGGTGCGGACTCCTCTAGCCCGGTGCTCTCAGCGCCCCGCACCCAGCCTCCGTGCACCCAGCCTCCGTGCACCGAGCCCGGCAGGGAGTCCGGCCCTTGTGCCCAGAGCTGCAGTGGCTGGACATGACGGTCCCTTCTGTCCTGCTTCTCTTTCTTCTGTCCTCGGTGCGAGCCACTGAGCAACCGCAGGTCGTCACTGAGCATCCCAGCATGGAGGCAGCCCTGACCGGGCCCAACGCCTCACACTTCTGGGCCAACTACACTTTCTCTGACTGGCAGAACTTCGTGGGCAGGAGACGCTATGGGGCCGAGTCCCAGAACCCTACGGTGAAAGCCCTGCTCATCGTAGCCTACTCCTTCATCATCATCTTCTCGCTCTTCGGCAATGTCCTGGTCTGTCATGTCATCTTCAAGAACCAGCGCATGCACTCAGCCACCAGCCTCTTCATCGTCAACCTGGCAGTGGCAGACATCATGATCACATTGCTCAACACGCCCTTCACTTTGGTAAGGAAAGGTCCTCCCGGGCTCAGACTCTTTTCCTGAGCATCTTTCTATCCTCTCTCCTCCCAACATTCTGTCTCGTCCAGGTCCTCCCCACCTCCAGGCTCTCCCATTCTACTCCTTCACCTTCTCTGTTTAGCCACCTCAGCCTTAGTTTGTGTTCTTGTCTTAATCCTTGAATCTCCTTTCTCTTCTGTCACTAACCAATATTCCTTCCATTTCTGTCTCCCCCTTGCTCTTTCTTTTCCCCTTCATTTCCAAGCCAGAGTTTCTGCAGCTGGTAGAGTCAAGCACCTGCAGTTGGCTCTAACGGACTAACCATTCTCTGTTAATCCTCCTTGGTCACAGGCGATTGGAAGTAGCAAACAGTAGATCAGGCCCCTGAAATGTTAGCAGAGGCTACTATCCTAACCCTCTCTTCAGCCTGTGGAAAACCCACCTCCCACCCATAGGGTGCTGCTGCTGGGTCATTTGAGGTGCAACTGTTAGTTGTCAGTGGATTCTGAAATGTCTTTCTCTGTGCTAGTGGGTTAAGCTGTGTTCCCTCTGTGGCTTGATAGGAAGCCCCAGTGTGAGGCTTGTGCTGTGAGGGCTGGGGCATTTGTGCAGGGGATGCAAGTGGCTCCCTCTCTGGGCCTCTGCTACGTGGTGTTACTGATGTTGCTTCTGTCCCTCAGTGACCATGGATGGTTTGAAACAGTGAGGGTATGGCTGAGCAATGCCAGTTACAGACAGCTTATCTCTACAGTGGAGTCATGCCCTTTTCACCTTATGGAATAATTTGTTATTAACGCTATTAGCCAAGCAGAATCTGTCTATGTACCTTCTATCTATCTATCCATCTATCTATCCATCTATCCATTATCTGTCTACCTCTCACATACAAACAATTGACAGACAACAAAAAGATGGATCACTGTAAGTACTTTGGCCCATGTGAGGTCCTTTTAAATCTTCCATCTTCAAAGGATCCTCATTCTCCTATTCTTCCTTATAAGAACATACTCACATTTTGCAGATAAGGAAACCAAGGCATAGAGACCCTGTCCTTATCCAAGGCTACCTGCAGAGCCAGGAGAACTTGCTCTTTTCACTGGTGTCCACTAAGGCCCCAGAGGGATTTCGGATACTCTTGACCCACGTTCTGCTTCCACTGCTCCAAGACACCAACTTGTCCTATTGCCTTTCAGCTTATACTAACCTATCAGTGGTCATTCAGGGTCCTCTAGGCACTGGCCAAGACATGAGAGCTTCCCAGTAGTCTTCTGTGCCTCCTGGATGCTTAGAAAAGCTGCATCATGGCTCTCCGTAGCTTCTCCCTTGGCTTGTCATCAGAGGATAGGCAAGCTGGAGTGGGTCTTGGCTGTAAGCTGCAAGACTCCAGGGTCTGATCCTGTCACTGTTGTTCAGAGCCAGGCTGCAGGGTCAGATAAGCAGTAGACACAAGAAGGGACAAAGAAGCTGAGACGACTGAGAGCTGAATGCCCCAGGGATCTCCTGTGAGAAGGGACTCTCTGCCCGTCCTATAGGACAAACTGTAACCGCTGGGCTTCGAACCCCACCCATGGCAACTTCCCAGTCCAAGCTCCTTTAGAACTTCTATCTATCTATCTATCTATCTATCTATCTATCTATCTATCTATCTATCATCTATCTATCATCTATCATCTATCTATCTATCTATCATCTATCTATCATCTATCTATCATCTATCAATCTATCTATCATCTATCTATCTATCATCTATCTATCATCTATCATCTATCTATCATCTATCATCTATCTATCATCTATCATCTATCTATCTATCATCTATCTATCTATCTATCTATCTATCTATCTATCTCTATCCATCCATCCAAGGTGTTGCCCTGTGCACACAGGTTGTGAGAACTGGGAGGGAGGGTCTTCAAATCCCTCAGCCTGCTCACCACAGCCTTCCCACTTGGGCGAGGCACTGCCTTTGGCTGCTCGGTGACAGTAACCTCCTCCTGGGCCCCTCTTCCTAGCCACTGTGCCCACTGAAGTCAACATGAAGACTGACCTTGATCATTGAGACAATAACAAACACTTGCTGATGGTTCTGATGACAGAGACATGCAGACAGTGTAGTGAAGCCCAAGGAGGCAGGCCTTCATTCCAACCCACCAGGGCATCAAAGGAGACTTTTAAAAGGATATGCCATTGCAACGGCTCTGCAAGAGCTAGATCTCCCACACAGCACAGAGGGAGCAGGCAGAGCAAAAGAGGAGCCACTGAAGTTCACCTTGTGTTGAGGGAGCACACAGTGGCTGGGAAAAGCTGGGGTTGGTCAGAAAGAGAGGCTGGGCCAGGTTTCCTGCAGCCTCTGTCTGGGTGAGTCTCATGGCAAGCAGCAGTGTTCCACCTGAACAGCCCGAGGGCAAGATCCAGAGAGAAGAGGGTGGGTTCTGGGAGGTGGTGATGGCCCACCTTCTGGGAGGTTTGCTCACTTGCTGATCAGAGGTGAGAGGCAGACAGGTTGAAGATGCCCTGCTTTGTAGCCTCAATGGTTCTTCCCAGTCCCAGGACAAACCCCTGGATCTTCTTCTCCCTGTGGAGATGTAGCCAGACTCGACCCAACTTTCCTGTATACACACCCTGCAAACACCCCACTCCTTGGTTCCCAACAGACCCTGATCCAGGGTTGATGGCTTTTATCCCCGTCTCCACACAGGTAAGCTCTTGCTCATCTTAAACTCCCCCTTGTGCAGTCATAATGGCACTGTAGAGGCTAAGTACGGCATGTTGTACCTACCCTACACCTGTTTTCTATCCTGTATGATTTTTATAACCACGTGTGAAATGGCAAGCCTGCTTCACATGTGCAGGGCTGGAGGCTCAGAAACCCTAAAGTGGGAGTACGTGAGCTGTGCTGAGGAAAGTGTGCTCTACGCTTCAGCACTGAATATTTCTTGGCTGGGAAGGCTGGGAAGCCAGAGAGGATGTTCTTCAGATACCAATGAGAGACATAACTGTGTGTCCTCAAGACTGGCCCATTCTCTGATCCGTCTCTCACCTTCCCATCCACTAAGACGACAGTAGGAAGTGACAGAACCTCTGCTGTGAATCCAGGTAGTAAGAGTACTTCTGTCCAGCTGAGTTGCTGTTTCCATCTCTGCTGACAATCTCTTCCTTTGCCCATTTCACTCCCACCTGGTAGCTCATCCTCCCTGGATCAGACATGCCTTGGTCAGAATTGATGCTCCATTTCTCCTGGGTGCAAGCCATTCCTCACAGGAGCTGCTCTAGGCCTGTGTAAGCACCGAGCCCTATGTGGTGCTGTGGGAGGACCTTGTCTTCCCCAAGGGTCCCATATCTTCTCACTGTAACTTTCACCTTCCCAGATTCTTCTGTCCCAGCTGATCAGCTGCAATATTGGCATAGACATGAGGCTGGGGTGTAGTTCAGTGGTAGATCACTTACACAGTATGTATGGGCTCTGATTTGGAACACACACACACACACACACACACACACACACACACACACACACATCTTCTAAGCACAGTGGACATGTTTTCCCACAAGGCCATGTTCCATTCAGTCAAGAAAGAATTTTATTACACTTAAAAATGCCAGCTTCCCATTTCTAAAAATCGCCTTTTAACAATTTGCTGAGCAATTTCTCCCATCTTTACAGAGTTTATAATAAGCCTTTCAGGTAGAGATTTTGAAGCCAGTTTGTGAAAATGGGAAAACTGAGGTTAAAAGAGTTTATTGGCTAAGGCTGCGCAGAAATAAATAGAGGTAGAATGCCAAGCCCAGAGCCCGTGTTCTTCCCAAACTCTCCTGATACCTGATGGCCCAGGGCCATGACTGAATGAACAAAAATGGGTTATGCTGGGGAAAGCCATGTGGTCCATGGCACAGTAGCTGGAAGATTTCTTGGCTGGGAGAACTGAGAGGTCTCCTGAAGAGATGTTCTTCAAAGACCACTGAGAGGTGAACTGGTACCAGTCAAGGCCTATTGATTCTGTCTGTCCCCAACGTCTGTATTTTACCCACAGGTCCGATTTGTGAACAGCACATGGGTGTTTGGGAAGGGCATGTGTCATGTCAGTCGCTTTGCCCAGTACTGTTCTCTACATGTCTCAGCACTGACCCTGACAGCTATTGCTGTGGACCGTCACCAGGTGAGAGCACCTGTCCCCAGCATCACCCTCCCCTCTCTGTCTGTGCCTGCCTGGTGGGAATACTACCATCATGGTCTGTAGGGAATACTCTCAGGACAGTGACTCATTCAGCCTCGCTGCCAGCGTGTGTGCTTGTCTCCTTGTCGATCAGTTTGGGCAAGGACATGAGGAATGTTAAACCCTTTGGTAGTTGCAAACAGTTATTTCCACTTGGTTGTTGACAGGAAGGCTCTCGGCTGGTTCCTGTCTCTGAATGTAATGAATTACTTTGGGGGTAGAAAAGCAAACACAGAAAATCACGGATGGAAACAAAGAAGCAAATAACTGCAGGTCAGAGAAGGCTTCAGGTGGGATATGGAGAGTCTCTGGCCCAGACAGTGTAGGAGGAATACAAGCCAGGAGCAGGTAGGGTTGGTAGCACCGGAGTAAGCATTTTCGGTAGTAGCCCATAGGTGGTAGGAACTCAAAGAGATTCTAAGGTCATCCCTTTTGCAAGGGGCCAACTCTGGGCCAGGTATATTGCACACACAAACTCCACAATCCATAAGCACGTATTTCTGAATATTCAGTGGTTCTCAACCTTCCTAATGTGTGGCCCTTTAATGCAGTTTCTCATGTTGTGGTAACCCCCAACCATAAAATTATTTCATTGCTATTTCATAACTATAATTTTGCCGGTGAGCAGTGTCTCAGCTTAAAAGGCCATCAGAATCATGTGTTTTCTGATGGTCATGACCCACAGGTTGAGAATCACTGGATTAGACCATGTTAAAAATTAGGAAACAGACTCAGAAATGCACACACTTTCCCATGATCATGTGGACAAGATGGCCACATTAGGTCTAACATCTATCTGGCTCCAAGATCATGCTCTTATCACTTGACTGTCCTGCTCTGTGATGATTTAAACAGACCCACAAAGCAAGTATCCCCAAGCTAAAGAGAATCTAGTTTGCTCTGAGATGACCCACGAGGCACGATATGGTGCAATAGAGAACTAGCTCCAAAGACCCACACTCAAAGGCCCCATTCAACGTGAGGAATGACTTTCTAATAAAAATAAATGTTCAAAGTGGACAGAGCTCCCTAGGACACAGCGTCCCATGTCACCAGCCACAGCTAAGTGCATCTGGCGACAACTTTAAAAGAGTGTTCTTGAAGGAATTTGCACATCAGTTGAGGGATGGACTGCCCAAATTTGAGCTCACTATATTCCCTGATCATGTTAGAATCAGGTCTTCCTATAGTGAAGGTGTGTCATGGGCAGCTGAGGAAAGCTTGCACACAACTATTCCTTACCTCTCGTTAGCCTCCACCAATTCAATCAGAGATCTGGGGTACCTCTGCCCCAGATTCTAGACTCACAAGTGGAAATGCTTTTAAATTTCTACCATTATTTAAGCTTCTTAGAAGAGTTGATTGGCTGGAGCACAATATCAATTCCAAGACACATTTTGGCCCCATGTCTGTGATACTGGTTCCCTTTTAAGTGTGTGGAAATCAGTGTGGGTTGGAATTTAGTAATGGCTTTAGTGGGTGGCATCAAATCATCCACCCACTCTTCTTGCAGTGGGTGACAAGAGATTGCTCCTTATGGTCAGAACCCTCCCTACTGTCCAGGGTCTGGAGCCAGAGAAAGATGGTCAGGCCTTGAGGAGGTGGGGCTGAGCTTGAGTCCCTCCTCCTCACCCCACCCTGCTCTTTTGACTTGCAAGAGGCCTTGGGAACTTCCAGGAGCCAGAGAGTCCACATGACACCCTCTTCCCATCCCTGGAGTTGAGCTGTGGTCAGAGTGACCTCCCTCTAACTCTCCGGCTGCCTAGTGCCATGCAGGCACCACTAAGAGGTGTAAAGGGTGCTCACCCTTTGATAAGTGGGACCTGGTTCTTACCTGCTTTCACCTTCAGCTGTGGGACCTCTCACATGTTTTCCAGGTCATCATGCATCCCTTGAAGCCCCGGATCTCCATCACCAAGGGTGTCATCTATATTGCTGTCATCTGGGTCATGGCTACCTTCTTCTCTCTGCCACATGCTATCTGCCAGAAACTGTTTACCTTCAAGTACAGGTGAGAAGTGTTAGTTGGAGTAGCCTGGGGCTCAAGGGAGAGTGCCATGCTGGCCTTCTCCAGAATAGACCCAGCCTACAGTCACTGGGACTAAACAGGAGGCCCCCTCTGGATATGACTCTTGCTGTCAGGTGCACCTGCCTCATAAGCTGTTCTTGCCAGTTCTCATCCTGTCGTCTTCGCCCATGCTGAGTCTCTTTTCAACCCAACCTTGCTTTCTAGGCTATTTGTAGGACAAGGCCGTAGTTACCAGGTTCTGCCACCAGGGGGCGTATGCTCACACAGATGCCCACTCGGCCCTGTTTAAAAATAAGCAAGAATTCCTGTCTCACAGAACTTAGAAAGAAAATAGGCATGAGTATATGCTTCTGAGGCAGGATTCCCTATCTCCCCCACTGCCCAGTTTGGTCCTTAACATATGCTCTTACCAAATGAGAAACTCCTTCTTTCAAACACTCAGTTAAAAACAACAACGAAAACCACAGTCTACTTTATAACAGCCTGTCTCCACGGCAGACTGCACAGGAGGAAGAGCTATCTCATTTTGAACTCATGATCTCTTTGAGTTGGTCCCTAACTCCACCTCCACACTACAAACCTGCAGTACGTATTCACCAACGGTGAACCAAAGGAGGGAACATTGAGTGGTTTTGGCATCTTATAGCTTTCCACTGGGAAGCAGCTGCCTTCCTCTGTTTCTTTCCAGAATGTGTAAGGAAATTAGTGAGGCCTAGACCCGGCGAGGCACGTGTACTTTACCACCTGCTCTCCTGACCTCCCATTTGTTCTAATGGTCGTTCTTTGGGGTGATAACTGACCATGAAGAAAGAGCTGGTTTCCTGAGCAGAAACATTGCTGCTTCATTCCTTCATTGGTCCATTCATTCATCATTCATTCATTCATTTGTTCATTGACTATCCATGGACTCACCATGTCCAAGGGATAATGCCAGGTTCAGGGCACACAGAGTCTGGAGTCTTCCTGGCCTCTATAAAATGTTCGATGGAGAAACTGAAGCATGATGGGATGATTAGGCCACAGTACCAAGAAGACTGTGACAGATTGCCCAGGCCTTACGTAGGGAGGCCAGCATTCCTCCATAGGAAGTGGTAGTACTGACTCCCCCACCCATAGCAGCCATCTTCCTTTTTTCCTCTCTCTCGGCTCAGTGAGGACATTGTACGCTCCCTCTGCCTGCCGGACTTCCCAGAGCCAGCTGACCTCTTCTGGAAGTACCTGGACCTGGCCACCTTCATCCTGCTCTACCTACTTCCCCTCTTCATCATCTCAGTGGCCTATGCTCGTGTGGCCAAGAAGCTGTGGCTCTGTAACACCATCGGTGACGTGACCACAGAGCAGTACCTCGCCCTGCGACGCAAGAAGAAGACCACCGTGAAGATGCTGGTACTTGTGGTAGTCCTCTTTGCCCTCTGCTGGTTCCCCCTCAACTGCTATGTCCTCCTCCTGTCCAGCAAGGCCATTCACACCAACAATGCCCTCTACTTTGCCTTCCACTGGTTTGCCATGAGCAGCACTTGTTATAACCCCTTCATCTACTGCTGGCTCAATGAGAACTTTAGGGTGGAGCTAAAGGCATTGCTGAGCATGTGCCAAAGGCCACCCAAGCCTCGGGAAGACAGGATGCCCTCCCCAGTTCCTTCCTTCAGGGTGGCATGGACAGAGAAGAGCCATGGTCGGAGGGCTCCACTAGCTAATCACCACATGCCCTCTTCCCAGTTCCAGACTGGGAAGACAGATCTGTCCTCTGTGGAACCCATTGTGGCCATGAGTTAGGGAAAGCTGGAAGCGGTGGGGGAGGGTTCTGTCCTCACATTGACCAGATGCTCACAGAGTCCACAGAAGCAGTGAGATGCTTGGGTTCCTAGAAACCTGTCCAGCCCCATCTGATTTGCAAACCTTCTAGAAGATGCCATGAGGTGTTATGTGTAGATCTTTGAGCAAGCGCTCTGGAAGCCACCTCAGCTCCAACAGAGGCTGGTCCAGTCAACCACCTCCAATTGTCTAACATCTGCCACCTTGCCCTTCCTACTGCTGAGCACCCACAGGGGGACCTGAGTCATTCTGTTGGTGGGCTTGACCCATGTGCTCAGAAAAGAACTTTACTAGCCAGGGAGAACAGGCACAAAAGCTTTCTGAAGTCACTGGAGCAAGTGTAATCACACAGCTTCAATGGCCTTGGGTCTATCTATGGCCAGACAGGACCCATTTTGGTTTCTTAAAATAAAGAGAAATTAGTATTGCCATTTTGAAAAGTTCAGAAAAGTGAAGAAATGAATTCAGCCCATCAATTTGTAAACAAGAAAGTAATGCCTGTTAATATGCTGTGAATTTATCTGCTCTCTCTCTCTCTCTCTCTCTCTCTCTCTCTCTCTCTCCATTTGTACTTTTAAAATCCTGAACTACACATTTAGATTGTAATAATTAGCAAGAAACTGGGATATATCAGAGTACTATTGACTTCTTCCATGATGACTGGGGTCCCTCAGCAGACAGAAGAGGGGAGAGAAGAGAGCAAGGTGAGGGTCGACTATCTTGTAACTAGCGATGGGTGGGGCCTGGCCCTCTCCTAGGTTACCATCAAGATAAGCAGTACACAAGGGAACTGGGAGGTTGGATCCCTTCCCCCGACCCCCAGAAACAAGAAGAGGTGAATCACTGTTCTTTTTTAATGGACGATGAGAGACTTGCCTTCCAATAAGCTGGAAATAATTGTGCTTCGACACCTCATCTGCCTGAGCTGTCTAGACAGGGCATTTTTCTATGTTGTCTGAATGATGAAATTTTTTTTCCACACCAGTTCCTGAGAGAAGATTTCCCTGTCTACATCACTTGAGAAATTCATGTGTCATATTTTTTCAAAACTTACTGGCTTCTTAAAGCAACTTTAATCCTTAAGGACCCTTTTGTCAGAGAAATCTCATTCCAGGTAGCCAGCGATTTCATCATCTTCTATATAGTTGCGACGACTCTCAGTGTCACCCACTGACAGATGTGTCAGGCAGAACGGACTCTAATCCCCATGCCCAGAGTGGTGACTGCTGCTGTGTTAACTTCGGATCCCCACCTCCTCACAGAACCATCAGGGAGACAAAGCATCTTTGTGGAGCTGAGAGGGAAAGTGAGACTTGAGGAAAGAGAGGCTCACCTAAGACTCATTTGCTAACTGAAGCACAATTTGGTCAAGTCTGATTCTCTGTAACAAACCTGAGGGGTTTCTTAAACTAGTCTATTCATGGGAGTATTAGAAAATTTCCAAGATTTAAAAAAAAAAAGTCATCTACAGAACAGCAGACTTTTTAAGGAAAACTGTCTTAGAGAGGGTAGAAGGAGATTTCCAAATATAAAGTGAGTTTTTGAGGTCACCACTTCTGCATCTGTCCTGATCTCTGTAATGCCAGCTAGTACCTGTGAGCTGCATCTTTCATGTGGCCAAGGAGAGTCAGGGTACTAACCTGAGGACAGGCAGCAGCAACACACAGTGTGTCTTCCCCGGGGAATTGTGAAGAGCTTCAGTCACAGTTCCCTGAGGGAAGCTGAAGACAGCACCCTGTCACAGTCAGCCCTTAGGTCTGCACCTCCTGTGGGTCCCTTCCCCAAGCTCCCTGTATTCGTCTGAGCAGATGGAACTGGTAACAGTGACTGTGGTCTTTGTGAAGCCCGAGTTTTTCTAATATGCTGAATAGTGTGCTTTATTGTCACTGTAGGCGCAATAAAACCTCTCCTGTGTGCAGGCTGTACTTCTTGGACTGGTGACCATGTCACAGATGGTAACCTTTAAAACAGGATTGACATGGATTATCTGAGGAGTGCCTGGAGATTCTCCATGCTAAGCCCAGGGTTTTATCTTAGAAAGCCTGGGCACAGTGAAGGTTTAGAGAGCGTGGTGAGACCTCTGACTCCTCATCAGGAGCTGCCATGTCCCCTCCTTGGTGGTGATACACCCGTGATGTTTGCTTGAGCCCTGAGCTACACTTATCCCTGGTGATTTGGGAGGAAGCAAAGCTGTTGCTGGAGCCTGGAGCCTCTCAGTAGCAGTACTCAGTAGACACAGCCTCCCCGTGTGTGCTGTGATTGATGCCGTACCTAGGCCTGGAGTGCCACCATAGTGGATAACCTGATGCCATTTCATGCAAGGCTAAAGTCAGTTTTAAAGACAGATGTAAATGAGGGTGATCTGATGACCCAGAAGGAAATTTGAAAGAAACACAAGAGATGAGAGACAGGAACTCAGATTTGTGGATGTTTCCTCATGTCGTAGATGCATGAGCCTTCAAGCTTATGCCCTCACCCTCCCTACCTTCTCTGGAGTGGGCATCAGTATTTCTCAGAAGAGAAAATGGAGGCTCAGCAAACTTAGATCGCTTTCTGAAAATCACAGTCTAAACTGAAAAATATTACCTAGGAGGTCAAGTTCTATGAAAACATGAAAAACAATCATGTTTTTATTTTAATCCCATATTCTCCAAATTTTCTTGTTGGAAAGTTTTTATTTGGGTGATGAAATATGTTAGCAACCCTAAAAACTAGGGCTTGATTTACATATTTTGCAACATGCTTGAGCGAGTCTTAAGGCCTCCACAGATAGAGGTCAGGGAATCAGGAGTTATGCAGCATGGCCAGGCAAAATTATCCCCATGTTGCTGGTACCTCTGAGACCTTGGCAAGTTGCTAAGGTCAGGAACCGTCTTGAGCCTCAAGGTTCTAGGGTTGCTTGGAAAACTGCAAATCTACTATTGCCAGTCTGAGCCTGTTGAGATATTCCACCAAGACCTCCCTGGTGGTGTGAGCCTGTTGAGCAATCTTTTTTGATTGGATTTAGATTCCTGTAAGAGACACACCTCTGGGTGTGTGTATCTATGAGGGTGTTTCCAGAGAGGATTTACTGTGGAAGAAAAATCCACCCTGTTGGTGGGTCAAGCATAATCCGTTGGGTGTGGGGACTGGACTGATTACAGAGGGGAAAGGAGAAAGCTATCGGAGTGCCAGCATTCCCCCTTCTCTACTTCCTGGTCAGTGTGCTGAGATGTGGCCAAGCAGCTCTCATTACCTTGGAGCAATGTGCTGCCATGACTTTGCAACACTCATGGGCTATATACTAAAACCATGAGGCAAAGAGAAAGCCTTCCTTAAATTACTTGTGTCAAGTATCTGGCTACTGCAAGAAACAAAGTAACAAATGCAGAGCCCACCCTGGCTGGCTGGCACCGAGGGATCTGAGAAAACCAGAAGCAGGTCTGTCTCAGAGCATAGGGTGAAGGTACAAGAAAGACTCATGCTCTCAGGGTCTGGCGCTGGAGAGACAGTGGTCAGCATCTTGATTTAGCATCTCCGCGCACCTCTATGGACAATTCTCTCTCATCTCATTTCAAGGAGTAGTTAGGGAAGAGAGAGAGAAACAGAGTTAGAGGAGAGGGGAGAGGGAGGGAGGGAGGGAGGGAGGATGGGAAAGGTGCAAAGCTGAATGCAGTTTTGAAAACACACAAAACAGTCGTATTTAACATGAGCAAAGCCTGGGCTAGGTCTCTCCCCGAGTCCTAGTAAACTGTCTCACAGACTGTGTGCTATTTGCAGGTTCTTAGGGGCAAAGTGGCTGATTTCAACAACCTCTCCTTTTCTCCTGTTTCCAGCCTAGCAGGGACCATTGTCGAACTGGTAGAGAATTTAAGGCACTTGACTTGCATATGAGGAGGCAGCAAAGGCATTGCTGACATTGAAAGGCCCTGAAGGGTGGGGGGGGAGGGGACACCCCCCCCCACTCAAGCCACCCAATGACTCACAAAACACCAATCTTGATGCAACCAGCAAGAGGTTTATTTCGGGGTAATCAACCCGTTGAGATCAAGACCCATAACCCACACAGGGGCAGAGGAGCTTCGACCCTTAGCTTGGAGAGTGTAGGATATTTAAAGGAAAAAAAAAAACACAAACTAGGGGGAGCACTGGGGAGTACCAATGGAAAGTCCCAGTCTATTATTCAGTGTGTGACAGGGTTCAAGAAACAATCATGGGATAGTACAGGTATTTTCTCAAGACTCAATCTTATTCAACCATATCATCTACTTTGTGGTCAGCCAAGTTCTTGGAGCACAAAGCCCCAGAGCTAGCTGACCCGCTCTCTTGGCTCTAGTCTGCTAGAAGTAAAAATTCTCTTAACCCTTCAACGTGTGGCTCATGAATTATCACAGTTGGGAGAAGGGTTGGTCTCAAGACGGGATATATACCACAGGGCTAAATATGGGTTTACCTTTGGTTTAGGTTTAGGTTTGGTTTAGGGTTTACAAGGGTTTACCTTTGGTTTAGGCAGCAGGTTCAAGGATGTCTATTGTGTATTGAAAGAAATTCATCAAATCAGTAACCACATCGCCAAGAGGAGGTCATACCTGGATACCTGCTTAGAGTGTGCCATAGACCAAGGACTGCAATTACTCTAGTCCTGACCCTGTGGCCTACCCACCACCAAACCCACCACCAAAGGGCCCAAACAGAAAGCCAATAAAAACGGGGAGCCAGAGGCCCAGGCCTCCACCTTTCTCCCCTGTTCTTTCCAATCAGGTTACACCTACATCTGGATCATTACAATATACAAGTCAATCACATTGTTTCTCACAAGGCCCAGGGCTCTATCAGAAGAGGACCCTGTAAAAAGTGTGAGAGCCAGAGTCATTGAAACAGTGTTTCTGATGGGCAGTGGTGGCACACGCCTTTAATCCCAGCACTTGGGAGGCAGAGGCAGGTGGATTTCTGAGTTCCAGGACAGCCAGAGCTACACAGTG